TGGATAAACAAACTACAATACATAAACACAATGAAATATTATGCAATGGTAAAGAATCAGCAAAACACCTCATAATGTGAATCAATATGGAAGACATTACACTAAGTGAAATAAGTGAGTCACCAAAGGACAAATATTGTAAAAGTCCACTATTAGAAAAAGTCAAGGAAAGGTTTACACACAGAAAGAAAAAAAACTTTCTTTGGTGGTCACCATGGACAGGATGGAAAATTATTAGGTGCCTTCCAGTCAGTCACAACTCACAGTGACCCTATGCACAACAGAAGAAAATACTGAGCCATCCTCACAATTGTTATAAGTTTGAGTCCACTGCTGCTGCTACCATGTCAGTCCATCTTCCTGGGGGTCTTCGACCTCTTTCCCCTCTTTTCAGTAGACCCTCCACTTTACCAAGCATGATGTCCTTCTCCAGGGACTGGTCCCTGCTGATAACATGTCCAAAGTATGAGAGACCAAGTCTTGCAACCCTGGCTTCAAAGAAGCATTCTGGCTGTACCTCTTCCAGGACAGACTTGTTTGTTCTTCTGGCAGTCTGGTACTTTTAATATTCTTCTCCAACACTATAATTCAAATGTATCAATTCTTCTACCTTTTTCCTCATTCACTATCCAACTTTCACATGCATATGAGGCTACTGAAAATACCACCGCTTGGGTCAGGCACACATTAGCTCTCCAACTGGTATCTCTACCCTTGAACATTTTAAAGAGATCTTCGACAACAGATTTGCCTAATGCAACACATCGTTTGATTTCTTGATTGCTGCTTCCTTGAGTGTTGATTCTGGATCCAAACAAAATGAAGTCTTTGACAGCCTCAGCCTTTTCTCCATTTATCATGTTATTTATTGGTCCTATTGTGAAGATTTTTGGTTTTTTTTACATTGAGTTACAATCCATACCTTTGATCTTCATCCGCAGTCTTTGATTTTAAGTACTTTAAGTACTCTTCACTATAAGCAAGCAAGGTTGTATTACCGGCATATCACAGGTTGTTAGTGAGTCTTCCTCCAATCCTGATGTCATGTCCTTCTTCATATAATCCAGATTCTTGGCTTATTTGCTCAGCATACAGATTGAATAAGTATGGTAAAAGGATACAACCCTGACACACACCTTTCCTGATTTTGAACCATTCTGTATCCCCTTGTTCTGTTCTAATAACTACCTCTTGCTCTAAGTACAAGTTCTTCATGAGAACATATAACAGACACATATTAATTTGGTTGAAGGGAAAGGCAACATAAGAGTGATCAGCACAATATCACTAAAGGAAAGCAAGACACAAGAGGATTATAAGAGTTACAGACAACAAAGATAATTACTAGTAGATACATAATTCTGCATTATCAGAAATAACAAATGTGAATCTACAATTGGATACATAGGCAGACCAACAAGACAAACAGGTATGAGTAGGCAAAAGGAATGATACTCACAACAATATAGAGGTTTGTTGTTGTTAAGTGCCGTGGAGTCAGTTCCTACTCATAAGGACCCTGTAAAGGGTTTCCAAGGAGTAGGTGTGAGCTTGAACTGTCTAGTTCATTAACCCATAGTACCACACCAGGACTCCATATACAGGTTTGTTGTTGTTGTTAAGTGCCATCGAGTCGGTTCCAAGCCACAGTGACCCTGTACAGGGTTTCCAAGGAGTGGCTGGTGAGCTTGAACCACCAACCTTGCAGTTCAAATGGCTTTGCAGTCTGGCACATTAACCCACAGTGCCACACCAGGACTCCATATATACATTTAGCATACAATTATTTCTACAAACATATTTGTATGTGCTGTAAATATTATCCATGTTTTATAATAGACCAAAAGGGGGGCAAAAGTGCGTCATCTTAACCATAACCAAACACCTGGAGGGAGTGTGTTAGTGGGTCTGGGGCCATCGTCTTTAGGGACACCAAGGTCAATTGGCATAACATAGTTCAAAGACATTCTACTTTGATGAATAACGACTGGGGTTTTAAAAGCTTGCAAGTGACCATCTGGAGCAAAGAATTACAGAGAAAATAAAAATCACATAGACTCAATTAGTCTTACGGATAATAGAGCACCCAAACCTCAGCCTCTACCATGCTGAGACCAGAACAACTAGATGGTGTTGACTACCACTGCTGACCACTCTGAAAAAGATCTCAAAGGAGGAGGCTGGATAGTTTAAGAGAAAAATGTAAAACAAAACTCAAAACAATTTTTTTAAAAGGCCAGATTTACTAGTCTGTCAGAGACTGGTGAAAACTGAGACTATGACCCTTGGTTACTCTTCAGGACTGGACCTGAACTCACTCCCATGGCTCAATTATCAGCCAAACCATAGACAGTCTTGTAGGGTGAGCAATAACACCGAGGAGGAGGTATGCACTCCTTAGAACTCCATAGGAAATCAGGAGGGCAGCATTTGCCCTGGGATAAACCTCAGAAGGCAGGAAAGGATAGGAAAGAAGGACAAATGGAAACAGTAAACACAGGAAGTGAGAAGACTTCAATCAATGTCATGAAACAAAATGTGTATGCACTGTTAAGTGGAAATCCAATTTGCTCTGTAACTCACTCAACATTTAGAGTGAAAAAAACAAAAACAAAAGGACAAATACTGTATGCTTTCACTATTGTAAAAACACAAGAACAGATAGAAAACAACATTCTTTGGTGGTTAAAAGGAAGGGATTCTAGAACTTGCCCAGTGAAATAGGTTTTTTGTGGAGCCTCTGCACTGTATAGGACCTTAGGAGGACTTCTGAGCCCCATCCAGAACCTTCTAAGTTAGGACATTCCCACTAGAAAAGACAAGCAGACCAGCCTGGAACAGCTAGAACAGAAGATACATCTTCAAAGAAAGATCAGGAAAAACCCAAAATGAAAATGACAGTATGAAGCAAGTTATTTGCAGGGAAGCCATCAAGGCAAGCAATCTAGTCCCTTCAGGACAAACTCCCCTCTAAGACTGAAACTCAAAGGGAACACATGAACAGGTATGTAAGCTTGCTGGTGACGTGAGTGGAAGAGGCGGAAAGGCAGCAATGAAGAAATGAGCCGAGTTCAATCACAGTCCATTAACTCGCATTGACCTGGAGATGAGAGAGAGAAGAGGAAGAGCTGGTTGGTCCAAAGTGTGGTGAGACCTGGGGACACTTGAGTCCATGGACAAGGACATAGCCACAGAGGGCTACAGCTGAGAGTGAAGCATCCAGCTAATATGAAATGAGGGGAGATGCACAAGAACACCCAAACTTGCAGTCAGTACCCATCTGACCTAGTCTCGATGGCTTGATAATCAGAACTCGACGAGAGGAAGATTAACAAATACAAAAACAATTTTTGATAAAGGAAACAAGGGGAAATTGCTACAATTTAATGAACCTGACCTATACTCATAGAGGTAGTTACTCTAAATACCAACAGAGAGGCAAAGAGTCTTCACATCAAGTATCAACGTTATCCCCTCTGTACACAGGGTATACAGGACAGGCAAGTTACCTAAAATGAGGGGGCAATAAAGGCACAAAGTGACTGGCTTACAAAGTGTCAAGAGGGAGTTTAGTTTAAGAGTGGGGGGGGGAGAGACTCCCCACTGAATAGTTCTTATCTTGTCTCGATGGATTTTGTGAAAAGTGATGGGGATAAGATTCTTATGATTCAATAGTAATTGTTATCATGACTAATTGCAGCTGTCACAATTGTAAAGGTAGAAGTTTTGTTATAAAAACAGGGGAGTGGTTATTCTTACAGTCCAGAAACAGGACCCTAGGACTATCAAGGGATAAGAGTACAAGCAGAATGCAGGACCTTATCCAGAGAAGCAATGTCGCCAGAGACCAGACAGAGACAGAGGTGGGTAATGGAGAGGACGAGCGGCTGAAGACTCTAGATTCATGGGAAGAGAGGGACTAAGAGCTGCTGGCCAGAAGGCAGACTAGCAGAATGTTCCCTTTATAGAGGTGTAAATTATTATACATGCCTGAGTGTTTTTTTTTATTTTGTTTTTTTAAAAAAAAGCTAAAGTGTGAATAGAGAGAAATACTGTTAACTGATGGTACATGAAGGGGATTATAATCATTGTAATGAAACAAGGTGTATGTTTTGTTGAATGTAAAACTGATGATATGCCCTGTAAACTTTTACTCGATCCACAATAAAAACCTTAAAAAAAAAAAAAAATTACTGACCTGTATTCATATATTATCTGAGCATTGTATACATTTTACACATCAGTAAAAAGTTTGCTTTTGTGAATTTTTTTTTTTTTTTTAATTTTCAAATTCTGACCCTAACATAGCTGCCACCCAATTACTGTCCTACACAGGGCAGATGTTTCCTGTCTTTGAACATTTATTGATGCTGTTTATCTTCTGCTACCTGGAACTGATCAGACAATTTTCCTTTCTCAGCCCTATATTCTTCAAGAGTCAGCTCAATCCCGGATCTTTCGAAGCTGGAAAAGGAAGAGTCCCTTTATTCAGAGTCAGACACTAAAGAAAGAAGTGGGTGGTCACAGACAGTCCTAGGAAAATCTGCACTGAACTTCCCAGTCTGAGAAGAGGCAGCTAAACACACTTATACACTTGTCTTGCTTAGGCAAACCTGGCCCCCTGCCCCTAGCCTCCTTCACATACATCCCCTATCCCAGGGAGGACGGTCCACGGTCCCACGCCAAATCCTATTCATGTCCACAAACCCCAATCCACCCAGCACCACCTCCTCCAATCCCTGGTCCACCCAGGACTCTTAACGGGACACACCCCCTCAGATCCCCACCCCTCAGGTGGTCCTGCCCCAAGAACCTTGCCTCACAACCCTGCCTCCTCCTTTAACAGCACCGCCCTCAGGTCCCACCCTCTCTGAGGACCCGCCAGGAGCAGGTCCGTTCCCTCAGAACGAAGCTCTCGAGGCCATTTCTCCTGTATTCCATTCACTGGAGCCGGGACAGCGCGGGCCGATCCTGACCGCCTACTCGCCCAGTGGCCTCACCTCTCTTCCAAGAACTCAGTGGGGACACCACCTCAACCCGCTCAGAAATAAATTCGACCAAGCTGGAGCGGAACAAGGCCGCCCTCACGGTCACAGCCAACACCAGCACTAGGGCCAAGGGAGCCGCCATGATAGCTGGGGTGGGCGCGCAGGCGGGGAGGGAAAGGCGAGGCGGAAGAACCTCACGACTTGAGCACCACCCCTTGTAGTTCTCTGGTCCGACGCTCGCCGAAGCTGCACTATGAGCAACCTAATCGTGAAGACTAACTTCCCCAGGAAACGTTGCGGAGAGGTTGGCTGCGACGACGGAAAGCGGGTCGGCTCAAGATTATTTTAAACCATTGGGCGAGGCCCTCTCGGAGAACAGGTGAACTGTAGAACTGCGCGGGAGCAGAGGCGCTGACCAAACGGAAAACAATTTCCTGCCTGTGATTATGAGCGAGTTTAAAAGCTAGTTCAGTCTTAATGTGCATGTTATTTAAAAACAAAATGTTTCCTTTCTGTGTTTTTAAAGACTTTGAAGATTGGTTGATTTATTTTGCACTTGTTTCTATTTTGGTTTCTGAAACTACATTTTGGGAGAATAGGTCGACTTAATTAGTTCTTTAACCTTGAACAAGTTGCTTCACTTTTTTTGCACCTCAGGTCTCACACCTGCAAAAATATACCGGAGTTCGCTTCTACAGGCTCTTTTTAGGCGATTGAGAAATGTTTAAACATTTTACTTATTGGTTATTAAACACAACCATTATTAAAAATGAAGAGATGAACTTTACAATTAAATTATATTAAAACCAAAAGCAAATGAATACTCAAAACTCGTCACATCTTCATTATTTTACTTGTTTTACAGCTGCTCCTTGGAAGCCCTGTACAGGGTCACTATAGGTCGGAATCGACTCAACAGCACTTAATAACAACAACAAAACCGCTGTTCTTCAGGTTGTTGTTGTTGTCAGGTGCCATCGAGTCAGAACCGACTCATAGCGACCCCATGCACAGCAGAACAAAACAATGTCCGATCCTGGGCCAACCTCACTACCGCTGTCACACTTGAGTCCATCAATGATGCCACCTGGCCAATCCATCTCGTTGGGGGTCTTCCTCTTTTTCTCTGACCCTCCACCTTACCCAGCATGACATCCTTCTCCAGCGACTGTTTCCTCCTGACAATATGTCCAAAGTATGAGAGACGAAGCTTAGCCATCTTGACCTCCAAGGAGCACTCTCATTGTACTTCTTCCAAAACAGATCTATTGGTTCTTTTGGCAGTCCATGGCACTTTCAGTATTCTCCTCCAACACCACAACTCAAAGGCATTAATTCTTCTACGATCTTCCTTATTCACTGTCCAGCTTTCGCATACATATGAGGTTATTGAAAATACCATGGCTTGGGTCAGGCGCACCTTAGTCCTCAAGCTGACATCTCTGCTCTTCAATACTTTAAAAAGTTCCTGTGCAGCAGATTTGCCCAATGCAATACATCGTCTGATCTCTTGACTGCTGCTGCTTCTGCGAGTGTTGATAGTTGATCCAAGAAGAATGAAGTCCTTGGCAACTTCAATCTTTTCTCCATTGATAAGAATGTTGTTTGTTGGTCCAGTGGTGAGGATTTTTGTTTTCTTGACATTGAGATGATATTTATGACAGAAATACTGTAAAATAGTCTGCCACCTTCCTCTTCTCAGATAGGCGTTCAGTGACCTCAAAATGGTAATTTGTCATCTGTCCTCTTGGGAGTGTTTACACTATAGAAATCAGCTACATATCAGGGCATTTTGGTTTGGATAGCGAGTTGATAAGCATTAAAAAGCATACCCCCTCACTAGTTAATTTATGAATTCATAATTCCCTCTTGACACCTTGCAAGTGTTTGTGGTAGGTACTCAAATATTAGCTATGTTAATATTAAATAAATATACATGGAAATCTCAGCTCTCTGAAGAAAATGAAACCAGTGTGTGATTAAAAATAACTGTTGGCAAAGAGGGAGGACAATATACAAGAAGAGGGAAGATGGCAAAGAATGATGAAGACAAGTGAAGTCACAGGGAGGTATGCAAAGGCTAAAGGGGATAAAGCTAAACAGCGTTATATACTGTTTTATTGTTTGGAACAATTGCATTTTGCAGGTAGATACATGGACAGAGACACAGGCTAAATGGGTATAGAAGGAGGAGCGGGAGTATACCCACTAATATATATGAGTTTGAAAGAGGGTATTTGGATATTTGTACTGGGTATTTACCTCTCTGAAAACACAACTATCAATGTGGTGGAGCATACCTCAGGCAAAGTGATAAAAACTTCTTAGATATTAATAAACATCTTGAGGTAATGAGTTGCTGGGCGTAGGGGCTCAGGACCAATGTCTCAGGGGACACCATAGTCCAATGGTATAACAATCCATGTTATAAATCCTAGTTTGGTGAATAGCATCTGGGATCTTAAAATCTCTTAAGCGGCCGGCCATCTACAGTGCAGCTGTTGGTCTCTTTTGTGTGCGCAAAGAAGAAAAGTGATGAGAATTGAAGGGGCTTGGAATAAGCTAGTCCAAAGGACTAATGGAACATGTGAACATCAGTCTCCACAACTCTAAGACCAGAAGAACTAGATGGTGCCCAGCTTCCACTATGAATTGCTCTGAAAGGAATCAGAAGAACTTGGATAAAAAAAATGGAACAAAACTCAAAATTATTTTTTAAAAAAAGGTCAAGATTACTGGTCAGAAAGAGGCTGGAGGAACCTGAGACTGTGGCCCTTAACCACTCTTCAAGTCTGGGAAGGAACTCACCCTCTTGGCCCAATTTTTAGTCAAGCAGTACATAGTCATATAGGGGAGTGGGTGGGGACAACAACATTAGTAAAGTATGCTTATCATGGAATGGTCAATCATTTAAAATCATAAAGACAGCATTTACCGAAGGACAAAATTGAGAAGGGATGGGAAGGTGAGTGGAATGGAAGTAGGTACCACAGAGAGAAGAAGTGGGATAAACTTGTTGCATGGAGGGGATTACAATTATTGAGATGAAACAAAGTGTATGATTGATTTGTTGAGTGTAAAACTGATGATCTTGTGTGTAAACCTTCACTCAATTCACAATAAAAATAAAAATAACTGTTGGAAGAAAAACAATGGTAATACTTCCTGTGGGTGGGTAGGGAAAGCTCTGGAAAGGTAACATTTGAGCTGAGACATAAAAAAGGAAAAATTATTCTGTTTCTAAGAGGAGAGACTAGATCCTGAGGCAGGAAAAAGCAAAGTGTGCTGAGGGATCAGAAATAAAACAAGTGTGGCTCAGGGAACTACAAAGCAAAACATCTCATAATGTGAATCAACCTGGAAGACATTATGCTAAGTGAAATAAGTCAGTCACAAAAGGCCAAATATTACATAAGAAATATTAGGAAAGTTTTACACATATGAAAAAAATAAATCTTTGATGGTTACCAGGGATGGGAAGGAAAATCACTAACTAGATAGTAGTTTGGTGTTGTCCAGCCTATTCTGATTCTTAGCAACCCTATGTACAAAGAACAAAACACTGCCCAGTCCACCATCCTCAAAACCTTCACTATGCTTGAGCCCATTTCCATTTCCACTTTTTGATCCTTCTTGTCGGGGGATCTTCCTCATTTTCATCAACCCTACACTTTACCAGGCATCATGTCCTTCTCCAGGGACTGGTTCCTCCTGATGCCAAGTCTGAAGTATAAGACGAAATCTTGCCATCCTGACTTATAAGGAGCATTCTGGCTGTACATCTGTTACAGGACAAAAGTTCAGCCTCTAGCTGTTGCAGCCAATAACAGATGGGGTGAAATTCAACATACATTTTATTGACAGATCTAGAAGGCAGTGAGAATGTTTCTCCAAAGACTGCCTTGGCTTTCCCCATACCAGTGGAGTTATTATACCCTGGATATTAATCCATTTGTTATTGTCACATTCCTTACTTAAGAACTTAATGCCCCCTCCCATCCAGGAGTGCAATCTGCATTCCACCGCTCAAGGTCCTTTACACTCTGAGAGTAACTCCCTCTTTCCTTCAAACAAAAGGTGGTGTTATTGAAGACACCTGGGCGCCAGATGCTTTCTTTCCTCTGGTTTTCCTTTTCCTAACTTGTTTCTTCTGCGTTTTAATCAATAATACACCACTAAGTCCTTCAGCTACATATCCCAGGAGCATGGACACAGGGAGAAATTAGGGCAGTAGTGACTGGGAACAATGATTAAAAAGCGTTAACATTATAAATAAAAACCTAATAAAATTCTCTCACTTCTTCCAAGATAAAATTTTTTTCTGGCAGTCCATGGTAGTTTTAATATTCTTCTCTAACACCATAAAATTAAATGTATCAATCCTACGTTCTTTCTTATTCATTGTCTACCTTTCACAGGCAAATGTTGTTGTTGTTGTTGTTGTTAAGTGCCATCGAGTCGGGTCCGACCCATAGCGACCCTGTACAGGGTTTCCGAGGGTGTAAATCTTTACGGGAGTAGAAAGCCTCATCTTACTCCCGCGGAGCGGCTGGTAGTTTCGAACCGCTGACCTTAAGGTTCGCAGCCCGATTCGTAACCACTACGCTACCAGAGCTCCTTTCACAGGCAAATGAGGTGATTGAAAATAACCACAGCTTGGGTTGTTGTTAAGTACCAGCAAACTCAGTACTGACTCATAGCAACCTTGTAAAGGGTTTCCAAGGAGTGGTGGATTTGAACCGTTGACCTTACAATTGGCAGTCCAGTGCTTATCCAACAGCACCATACCAGGACTCCATGAATTTGGTTTGTTGTTGATGTTAAGTGCCATCGAGTCAGTTCTGACCTTATATAGCAACCCTGTATAAGGTTTCTGAGGAGTGGCTGGTGAGTTTGAACTGCTGACCTTACAGTTCAAACTGACCTTGCGATCCAGTGCTTATCCTACAGTACCACGCCAGGGCTCTGTGACTTTGGTTAGGTGAACTTTAGTCCTCAAACTGTTATCTTTGTTTTTCAAAATTAAGTTTCAAAATTACTTGGGATTCTATAACACACTCAACATTTTTCAAGCTGAAAAAACTGAAGAAAAAATTCAAGCTTCAACTGCATGGTCAAAATATTGAACAATACAAGAAGCATCAAAAAAAAGATGGAAGGAATACACTGTACCAAATCACTGTACCAAGAAGACGTTCAACCATCTTAGGATGTAATATGCGATCAAGAACCAAAGATATTGAAAGAAGTCCAAGTTGCCCTGAGAAACTTGAAAAACAAGGATCTAGGAATTGCCAAAATATCAACTGAAATGTTTCAACAAACTGATGCAATTCTAA